AGGAAGGAAGGAAGGAAGGAAGGAAGGAAGGAAGGAAGGAAGGAAGGAAGGAAGTCTCTTTGTCCTCTTTGCCCTTGATTCCCTCCATTCAATCCTGGCCCCCAGGCCATAGGACCTACTTTCTGTCATCAGAGTTGCTGCCCAGGATTTTGCTGGAGCTGCCCAGCAACCCCACCAGGGCATCGGCATCGTCACTCCTATTTAATAGATAAAGAATGGAGTGGGGTGGCCAGATTTAACACACAGAAATACAGGATCCCCAATTAAATTTTAATTTTAGGTAAATAATCAATTTTTTAAATATAAGATGTCCTATGTACTCTTTGGGACATACTTAACTGGGCATCCTGTATTATACTGGTCACCGGAGTGGGACATTGAAAGGTTGGGTGAGCTTTTCCAGCCATTTCTCTGTTGGTTTTTATTTTCCTCGTCTGTGGAGGATATGAAACTTCCAAATTCTTAATCTGATTCAATACAAAGCACTTTAAAAAGGGAAATGGTAGAAAAGTCTCGTGTGTGTGTGTGTGTGTGTGTGTGTGTGTGTGTAGCCATGTATATGTGTTTGTGGTAAGAATAAGCTTATTACTAGCATATTTATTTAAGAAATACTTACAAAGTTCCTATTGTATGCTGTGTACTTAAATTAAGCAAATACTATGACTGTAGCATATGTAATTTTTGGTTATAAGAATTGGATTTATAGCTGGGCACAGTGGTGCATGCCTGTAATCCCAGCAGCTCGGGAGGCTGAGGCAGGAGGATCATGAGTTCAAAGCCAGCCTCAGCAATATCGAGGTATTAAGCAACTCAGTGAGACCCTGTCTCTAAATAAAATACAAAATAGGGCTGGGGATGTGGCTCAGTAGTTAAGTGCCCCCAAGTTCAATCCCCAGCACCCCCCCCCAAATAATTCAATTTGTATTTTATATGTTAGATACTTCTGAGATTGAGGAGGTACACCTGCCTAGATGCAGTGACTTCTGGCACATCCCCCTAACACTCCAGGGTACGCATAAGACTGGACCTAGGAAAGAAAAGATGGTCAGCTGTGACTCGTGTTCTCTGACATCATCCTCTGAGTCCCATCCCTCAGTGAGGCTTCCTGGAGGACTGGCAGCATGTCCCTATACTGCTGACCACTGCTCACATCTCTTTGCTGTTTGAACTGGCTGAGCCACCTTTTCTCTGGGTCTCTTGATAAATAAAACCAGTTTGATTCAGACCTCTGCCTTGCCGGCACTATCCTTCCTAAACAGCTATAAAATCTGTGATGGCAACATGTAATCAGCTCATTTTGGCCCAGTGTCGTGGAAGTGATGCTGGGCTCTACGAACAGGGTGCTTGCCTCTTGCAATCAGGCAGCATCAGACCTGGGTGGCAATGGGGACAAGTCAGGAAAGCTTGCAAAGGATACTTTAGCAGGAGGGGAGGGCTGTGCAAACCTCTCACACTGCTTCTTTGCCCCTCCCTGCCAGGTGCAGGTCCTACCTGGCTCCTTCCTCACGCTGAGCTAACATGATCTCCTCATTTCTCTACTCGAATATCTGGTTCCTAACAGGCTGGCCCAATCATTGCCCCTGCCTTGCTTATTTCCCCTGCTTGGAGTACTCTTAATTTCCAGTCCACCTGTCAGGAACCAGTCCTTTCTCAAGTCCCACCTTTCCCAGGAAGCCCCCCTTGATTGCATGAGATGCCTTTCTCTGACTCTTCTCCCACATCGAGTTTAGATGCCCCAACCAATATCGCTTTGAGCTGTGCCCTTTTCTGGTGAGTCTGGGACTTGGAGATGCGAGATGAATGAGTCAACATTAAAAACAGAGACTGTAGAAAACTCTGTGTTTATATCTCTAATTCCACTTGTTCCAGATTCTTACCCCTCTGGAGTTGATGTGGGTGCTGTCTGAACACAGGAGAAGGAGGTGACACTTTCAGCTGGTCAGAATGGTCCCACTTATGTTATAAAGCAGAACTGCACAATGGGGAAGTTCAGTGTAAGAGGTTCTGAGATTTGAAAAAAATCTGAACAGGGTCCTCCAGAAAAAAAAAAAAAAAAAACAGCTGAAACCAACAAAAAATGTCTCATAGTAAGAGCTGTGTTTTCCTTTTGATCTTTTTGAACATTTTTTTTTTGACAGAGGGATTGAGCCAAACTCTTATACCAGCTAATTCTTAGTATGCAAGAGGTTTCCATAACTAGACTATGTGCTATCTGAAACCCATCGAGAAGGTTCTATGGTGATAGAGTTGAGCCGTGGCATTGACTTCCTGCAGGATTAACTACTGTTTACTGTATGTTTAACCTCTTACCATATTAGAGAAGGGAGGC